AAAGCTCTTGTTATCCAAAATGAAAAACTTCTGCCAGAATGGGGGGCATCTTTGCTTTTTTCCCAAAGCACATCGAATAATTTCAGAATTCAGAATAAGGCGCAATTCAGGGTGCAATTATGATAAAAACTTAAAGTCATATTTACCTTTTCTCAAAGTTTTATGACATTATTTACTTTCACATGAAAATTTCTGATAAAGAATATGGGAAAGTACTCTGAATTGGGATTTCTTAAAAATGCTGAGCTTTGCTACTTTGTGGAATACGTGTGAGGAGAGCTGCCTACAGCGGCCCAGCATGGGCTCAGCATGGTGCCAAAGGACACAATTTCCAGGGACCACAAAGTGAGGAGTGTGGCCTGGGACAGGACACAGCAGGGGTCCCGACTGGAACAGCATACTGACTGAAAACAATGGTGGCTACCTATTTCAGAAAATAAAGACAGGCTTGACGAAAATGAAAGAGGCATATCACAGAGATACATGAGCCAGTGTGCACCCAAATGGTTAAATTTGGGATAAACTGAGCATCAAAATAAATAAGGACAGGAATATATTATAACCCACTGAATGGAAAATCCATAATTCCATGCTGATAACAAATGAATAGATAAATGGAAAAGAAGAAAAATCTCTTTCTAATAGTAGAATGAAAACTAACAAATGTAAGAAGGAATGATGGTGTTAAGTTAGAAATGCGCCATTTTCTCAGCTTCATTGTAAAAACTGAATCAGACAGAAAACATCAACAGCGGCTCAAGAGGTAAAGGGGGCGAGTTAGAGAAGGAACAAGGTACACACAGAATCTCAAAGTTCTAGTAATGACAAAGTCAACGGTAATAATACAGCAAAGAAATCAGACAACAGCTTAACCAAGGGATCAAAGTTAATGTCACCAATAAGGGCCAAGGGCCATCCCATGCCTCCTGTGTGACTGCCTGAGAAGGAGCCGTCATGTACACGGCAATCCAACCAAAAAGGCATAACCTAAATCTATCACAAGGAGACTGGGAAACCCAAACAGAAGGCTATTCTATTAAACAACTTGCCGATGTTCTTCAAAAACGTCATGACACACAAGGAAGGCTGAGAGCCGCCCCTGGGAAAGGAGACTAACGACATGAGAGGGAAATCCAGTCAGGGGTCCTAGACTCGATGCTGTACTGGGGGGAAGAAATGCAATGCAGGTAGTTACTGGGGCATCTGACAAAACTGGAACATGGCCTGAAGATTAAAGTATTAAATGCCCTGAATTTGCTAATAGCACTGGGGTTACATAAGAGGATATCCTTGTTCTTAGGAAATACACAGAGAAGAATTAGGGGGATATATGCTGCCTACACTCAAATGACTCAGAAAAAGTAAGTGTGACGTGTGAATGTGTATGTGTAGAGAGAGAGAGGGAGGGAGGATGGGAGGAAAAGAAGAAGACAGACACAGAAAAATGATGTTAAAAATGTGTAAAACTAAATCAGTAGGAATAAATTATACTATTGTAACTTCAAAATAAAATGTTAAAAAAAAATCAGCAGCCGCCAAGACAATTTTGAGGGGTATCAGTGTTCAGCTTGCTTTAATGAGCAGAAAAGTAATTCAACTTGTAATTAATGAAAATAGAATTAAATTTTGTTGCTATCATTATCATAATCATCACCACGAACATTTATGGAGCACTTATTAAGTGATAAGTACTCAGAAAGGTGTTTCACTTGCATTACCTCTTTTAGTCTTCACAACTACCCTAAGGGAGAGGCACTAGAGTTATCCCCAGTTTATAGATGAGGTAATGAAAGTTTAGAGAGGTTTAGTAACTTGCCCAAAGTAATACAGGCAGTAAATGGCAGAACTAGAAATCCAACCTGGTTGATTACAAAGCTGGTAGGACTTATTACTATGTTAAACTTATTTAATTTTTAATTATTTATTAATTTTCCTCAAAGAAAGAGAGATGAATCTCAACCTAAATGAAATTCTGAGCAATTAGTAAAATCTGCTTGGATAAAGATTTCTTCTAATTATAATTACAGCACTAAATAAATCAGAGACATGAACAGCATTTTTGTTCCCCATAATTATTTACTTTATGTTCTTTCTTCCAAGGGCTGAACTTGGTAATACACAAATTCTTTGAAAAAATATACCCAGTATGTCCTTTGAAATGATCTTATCAAATGTCTTGTAACCATTTGGTCCTTGCTATGGAATGAATGTTTGTGTCCTTCTAAAATGAGATGTTGAAGCCTAAATCCCCAATGTGATGGCATTTGGAGGTGGAGCCTTTGGAAGGTGATTAGGTCCTGAGGGTGGAATTCTCGTGAATGGGATTAATGCCCTTATAAGAAGAGACACAAGAAAGATGATTACTCCCTCTCTACCACGTGAGGACACAATGAGAATACCACCATCTGCAAACCAGGAAGTGGGCCCTCACCAGATACCAGATCTGTCAGTGCCTTGACCTTGGACTTCCCGGACTCCAGAACTGTGAGAAATAAATTTCTGTGGTTTATAGTCCATCCAGTCTGTGGTATTTTGTTGTAGTAGACTGAACTAATACAGTTTTATTTCAAGGTTTTCTTCCTTTAAATACATTTTCTCTCCTTTCGTGAAAAGTGGTGGATCTTAGCATTTGGATCCTTTTAGTCTTGACACCTCAATTTTACATAAAAAATGTTATCACTTGCAACACACTGCCTGATTTCCCAAATCAGTGTACTATTATCTTCATTGTAGATAAAGAGTAAGCTGCTAAACATACCATAGCTTTCTTCCCAGTGGAAGCTGAATGACTATTAATAAAAAAAGTTCAAAACAATAAAACATTTGCAAATACTTGCAGGTGCTTGGGGAAATCTTATCATCTGACACAGTGACTGTCCATTCCAGAACAAAGGATCCCCAACCGAGGCTGTGATTTTACCACAGGAGGAGCCCAGCCCCGACTCAAGACCAATGAAACCAGAACCTCTGGAGATGGGACGTGGGTCACCGGTCATTTTAAGCTTGCTGATGGTTCCAATGTGTAGCCAAGTTTGAGGTTGCTAGATCGAGCATCTATAGCCATAGATCATCATATCTTTTGTGTACAGAGCCAAAGGATTCATAAAAGCTTTTTAGAATTGGTCTCACTAGTTAAGGAACATGCAGGCCAACTGGTGAGCGAAGATCTGTGTGTACATAGGAAGCAGGAACTGAATGAAGACCAAGGACATGTGCCAAATGAACGTGATACACAATGACCACATCAGGAGACTACGTGAGGACAGTAAGTGACTCCTGTACCCTCTGGGCACAGTGACAGGCTCTGGTATGAGCAAAGCTGAGGAAGGCAGCCTTGGACAGGGAATGGTGTAAGTGGAAAAGTATTCCGTATGTCCAGGAAACAGTGAGGTGACTAGCTTAGAGTGGGAGGTTCACTCTTCAGAGTAGAAAAGGTAAGCATGAAGAAGTGGAACAGAACCAGCAGTGGAGGGCCTTGAGCAACAAGTCGGAAAGTCCGGTAGCGGTTTGGAGATTTGCGGAAATGATGGAATGAAAGCTCTCCTTTGGGAGGACTGATTTGACAGAGCTATTCACGTGGTTTTGGGAGAAAAACTAAAACTCTATCTAGTAAGAGAGAAAAACACAACAGATTAGGTAAAATTGCATGCGGATGAAGTATAATCTTATACCTTCCTTTTCAGTTGTCCACAAAAGACAGGAAACAGACACTTGGGGTGCTAAAAACAGCACGGATCTCACCTGCTGTGGATCTAGCACAGGAGAGGCTGACGGCCTGGAGGCCCCAAGGATCCTCTTCCCCTCTGGCCTGGCTTAAAGCCTCACAGTACTAACACTTTCTGCAACTAAGAGTCCCCCCTTTTTCTGTAAAAGGCTATTCCTTTGACTAAGAAATGTAATTCTAGGGGACAAAGTCTCAGGTAAGATAAATGCTTTCTTATAATTTTTTTCTTCTTGGAATAAAAAAGGGTTTTTGAGAAGCTGGATGATTCCAGGTCATACTGGCAATTAAAGACTTTTAGGAATAAAAAAGGGGACCAGAACATTCATGATTCAATAAATATTTATTGAACATGTATTAATACTATTTGCTGCTGTTCTGGACATTGGGAAGAAATACAGCAAGGTCCCTTTTCTAAATAGAAAACTCTGTGGGTACTGAAGAGGTTTCGCTCAAAAACATAATAGTAGTCTAAGGCTACCCAATTTTTAGCTAGCTGTCCTGCTACAGATCTTAAAACAATAGGCAAAAAAAAAAAAAAGGTCAAGATCCTTTATATAATGAACTATAAGCACCACAGAAAGTATAGGGTTGACAAAGCATTTATGTATGTATAATCAAGCTACTAGATGTATCCTAACCTCTAAAACAGTATTAAATAAATGCACTTGATAAAAATTGAATGGCATTGTTGAGCTGAATAGAGTCCAAAGTGAGGCAAGAAGGAGGCTATTATTCTGATTTAACAAAAGCAGTGAGGTCATCTCAGCTGCCTGTGTTCTAAATGCCATGTTTGCAAAGAGGGGCATGCCCAGGTATCTGAACCTCCAATCCAAATGCTTTTAAAACTAGACAAATGCTTGTTTGTGAAATGGTGTCTTATAAAACCATGCCATCAGAGTCGCTCACAAAAGCTACATTCAAATTGTACCCAGGGTAATTCAGAGACTTCAAAGCTCAGAGGTTTGCTACACATACCGACGGTCATTCCAAGATTGCAGAGAACACATTGGTGTTCATAAAATTTTCATTTTATAAATCTCTAATAAGAATCCATGTTTACCTACATGCATTAATTAGAAATACCCACAACAAAAGGAATCTCAGTTTCCAATGACTGATCAAACAACCACACAAAAGTGTTTGATTCTTCTTTTTCTGTGTAATTATACTCTCTAGTTTATAGACAATTTCTATTTTCTCACCGCGGAGAAAAAAAAAATCAGCACACTCAAGTTCCCTTCCCCGCCCACTGCTTGCCCCGGGAGAGGAGCCTCACCCGCATAGTGGACTGGGATCTCTATCTTCGGCCCAATGACGTAGTGGCCCTCCTCCAGGCTGTGGGCGGTGATGGTGGTCCACTGCCGGCAGGAGTGGATCAGAAGGTAGTCGTTTTCCCGCAGCCCTTCTATGCATTCTCCTGGAAAACACAATTTTACACGAGAAACTTCGACTTAGCATATGCTTACTCCATACTCTGAAATAAAATTTCATTAGGTAAAACTTCACTTGTGCAGAAGTTAATGGGTCATCCCAAAAGGAGATAAAATTCACTTACGAATTAGCAATAAAAAAAGCATTCCACGCCAAACTGACAATTTCATTCAAGATTCCATAGAAATGTTTCTTAATTATTTGAAAAGAGATTTTCGAATACCTCATTTATCTAAATAATTATATTTCAATGATTATAAAACAAATATTAAGTGCTTACATTAAATAAGCACATACTATTTCATGTAACACAGCATCATTACGAGGTAGGTATTAGTCTTTCTTTAAAAGTGAAGAAAAAAATCCATGTTTAGAATGTTAAATAACATGTCTAAACCCACAGATTGAATGAATGTTGAATTGATTCCAAAGCTTATGCTCTTAAACACTACAATATAACTACCAAAAATAAATAATAATCTTATCTCTGTTTGAAACAGTAGTTGAAAATGCCCATTTCTCCTTTTAAATTTTACATATTTTGCCAGTCCTCTCTGGCCTCCTACCTAACTTCCCAATCAATTAAAAACAGTGAAGTTTAAAGCATACAAATGAAATTACTTTTCATTTGAATAATTTCTAATATACACTCTTAGCATTTGAACTGACGACAAACTATTTCAAAAGAGAAATCCATTTCCTGAAACTTAAAGATGGCTTTCCAGATGCTGAAATGATCCCTCCCATTAATCCTGGTTTAGGGATTTTAAATGCTCAAAGAAAATACCTCAAAAAGGCTAATTTCTTTATACAAAAAACCAGCAACCTACCTTATTTTTGCTGTTTATTATATTATAATAATTAAAAGAGCGATTAGTGATTTAACTGTATGCCTTGACATAGCATTTATAGATCCCTCAAAGATTCTTAAAAGTTTCAGTACTTTTTCAATTAAAAAAAAAAAAAGCAGAGAAGACTGTAATGGTCAACTTGGTTATCATAACCACAAACTATCAAATTTGTTCCGAAACCAATAGGGCTATACTCTTTAATATAGTCTTAATGCAAGAATATGCTCTCTTTGTTACAAGAAATACTAAGAGTTAAAAGCTTTATTGTGGGGGAAGGGCACAGACACAGGCTTCAAAGTGGAGATAGGTTAGCAGGAGGGGGGTGTCCTGTTGGGGAGGGATATACTTTCAAACCAGACTCCCCTGCCCCTCACACTTTGGGAGGGCCAGGTTCATAAAGACACCATCTGGAGAGGCCAGTGGTACTCACCAGCCCTTTGCATCTCTCAAGCATGTCAGGGCAGGAAAGAAAGATCTAGAAGCACTGCCCATAGTATAGCCCCCTCAAAGCTCCCCAACAAGGGTACAGGGTATGGGCACGAACACAGCAGTTGAGAGTTACTAGCTGGGACTTCAGAGTCCAGCAGACCTCATGTAGCCTTAGCTTTGCCCCCAGTACTGTGTGATCCTGGGCAGGCACCTGCTCTTCACCCAGGAGACGCGGCAACAACAGTCCCTGCTTCTTCACAGAATGCTTGTAAAACTAATTGGTGACAGTGATGGACACTGTGGAGCACCAGCTCTGTCATCATGTTAGGAGTGATTAGGAAACATTAGCTATTTATTTATTGTAGATTTTCCCTCCCTAAAATTACACTGTAATTTAGGTCATATTATCCTTTTATAGGTGAGGAAATGATCTTCAGAGCAGTCAAGCAACTTGCCCAGAGCTACACAGCTAGTAAATGGCAGAAAGGGAGGTCAGGATCTCTCTCCCTATCTCTACATCTCTCTCCTGCTCTTCCAACCCCACACCTTGCCTTGAAAACCATCACCACCACCCCTGGCAGATGTGGCTCAATTGGTTGGGTGTTGTCCTGCAAATTGAAAGGTTGCTGGTTCTATTTCTGGTCAGGGCACATGCCTGGGTTGCAGGTTCTAGACCCAGTTGGGGAGCGAGAAAGAGGCAACTGATCAATGTTTCTCTCTCACATCGATATTTCTCTTGCTCTCTTTCTCCCTCCATTTCCCTCTCTTTAGAACAAATAAAAGAAATTAAAAAAAAAAAAGCCATTGACAATAATCCAAGAAACAGGGAGAAAGTGCCCTTTATCTTCAAGTCTCACCAGTTCACTGACAAGCACTGTTCCCAATACTTGGGACACACGTGTCAGAAAACAAAATTAAAGATCCCTGTCCTAGGACGCTTTCTATTCAATGGGAAGGAGACAGACAATACCATGACCAAGAATGGCTAAAAACAAATTAAGTAGAAAGTGAAAGGTGCTTTGGGTAAAGGGTAAGAGGTTCAGAAGAAAAGGGAGAAGTTTGCAAGTTTGTCATTTTATCCAGCAAACATTTGTTTACTTACTTTGCCTTTAAAAAACAGCCTTGAGCTACAGTAATAGACAAATGGAGATATTTACTGTGTAAAATTTGATGGCCAACAAACACTTATTGAGTATGTTTTATGGACAAACCAATGGGGGAGTGGGCAAAAATATGATGACTTGGTCCCTGCATTCAAGTCAACATTCTTGTCAGGGAGATGCACTCACATGTAATTTCACAGATGGTAGGTAGGATGCGATGAGCCCTCTGCCAGAGGAAGAAGAAATCTAGAGTGGAGATGAGGACTTTTGCACAGAAGATCAAGAAAACATTAACAAGCATATAGAGCATCAGGGCTTGTCCTTCTTGGATGGATGAGATGGGCTTGGATGAGAGGGAGGCAATAGGGAGCCACTGGAGAGTTTGGGATAAGAGAATGGCCAAAACGCTACTTTCAGAAAATTAATCTGGTGGTGCTCTGAACGATGAACGGGAGAAAGGAGAAACCAGAGCTCTGCAGTGCATGCAGGAAACTCGGAGAGAAAACGCACTGCCATTCAGGGAAAAAAGAAAAATGTCATTTTCTGCAGCTAAACTGTTGTATCATAAAAACTGTTTTAATTTTATTCCACAGTGGGCTCTAAAAAGGCAGCTAAGAAACAACTGCAGTCAAGTTAATCAAAATGAAAATTTAATGTTAAGTCCTACTGCTAGCTCATGTAGTAAACTCTATCAAGAGGATTCAGAATGATTTTCGAAGCCATAAAGTAGTAAGAAACCAAGGCCTATTTTTGAGTTTATGTCTTTTTTACTTTTTTAAACAGCTGAACCATGTGCTTGCTTTAGGCAAAAGAAGTTTCACAAAAATTGTCTAGAAATAAAACTTAATATAATCACTTAAAATATCCTAGGGTAGGCCACTAACAGAGAAATTACATTAAGTGAACTCATAAAGTAAACAATTCTTCTGTGATATCATTATCCTGTTGCTTGACTGCTATGTATAACATACTAAACTTATATATTTAGTTCAATCATGTAATAATAACAGAGGTCTGAAAGAATTATGTGTTAAATTCCAAAATATGGTAATGTCGTCCTGAAATTTCCTCACGTCAAGCATGATTCTGGGATATACTTTAACTAGTCTAGTATGAACCTGACCTCTTCAACATTAAGTTTTATATACCTGTTAAAAATTTTTTTAATGCTATTAGAACATTTAAAATCTATGAATCCTTGAGAGTAAGTCTGCTTAAAGAAAGAAGACTCAATCTCAAATTGAGATTTTTAAATAAGTATTTATCACCTGGACACACCTAGATTCTGTTTGTTTGGCTGCTGGGCCTGATTATTCTCCTGATTCACTCTTTTGATCTCTCCCTGTTACTTTCTCTCAATTTCCCTCCTTTACGTTAGCTGTGACTGTAGGGGTTAATCAAAGTTCTACCCTCAGTCTCTACACCTATTCTCTCTCCTTTATAATCTTATATACCTCCCAAGGATTCAATTAGTTACAGAGAGTGCTGAGGGCCCCATGACCTAGTTCCAAAGGGTCTATGACCTTGTGTCCCCACATCACACGTTCGAGCCCAGAGAGCGTGTTCTCTGTTCCACACGCATGCTTCCCTCCCACGCATTTGTGCCCTCCCCTCCCTTTCTTTGGTTTGCATAACTAAGCCTTTATCTCCCAATCCTGATTCATCCAGTCTTGAAAGAACAACTCAAATGTCATCTTCATACATGTCTTCTTGATAAGAATCCTTAACATTTTAAATTTAAAGTGCATTGATTTTGTAACTTTGTTTATGTCCTATGATAAATTTATAAATTTCTTTTAGAGCTATGAGGAGCATAAGGAACTTAGACTTTTTAATATTTATGTACATTTAAATAACATTATAATAAAAACAACATTATGAAAATTGCATGCAATTTTTTCCCTTTAAAAAAACTTTCCTTGTCTATATACTCATCGAGTTTGAGAAACATGGTTCTTGAGGTTAAGGAACTAAAATATTCAAGATCATAAATGATGCTGGATGAGATCCTCACTAAACTCGCTGTTCCTACCAACAACCACAGCAATGTAAGGAAACAGCCCGGAGTCACCGCCTCATGGCTTTGCTTTAATGTTCTAATATAATTTATCTTTATTTAGAACCCCCTGGACATTGAATCTTATGTTTTTTTTATGCTAAACTACTTTAGCTTTGCCTGAACTATAAATTCATTACAGTGAATGAATGAGTTAGTGCACAACTGTAGTGCCTTACATATAAACTACTTAGAAGGTGTTTGAATTAGTCCATGTGTTATGATTTTTGGCACTAATAAATTTAAATGTTTTTGATTTCCCACATTTGTGTATCCTTGTTCTTGGGGTTGTATTTCACACCAAAGTAACAAGCTCAGTCAATTTGGGGCGTGTCTCTGGAGGTGTGTGCTTTTAATCTTTTCAACTCTTAGAATACCTGAATTTCCACTTTACATAGCAAACACATAATTTTCTCATGCCAATTAATTTTTAAAAGTATGTTTTTATCCCAAATTTGTTTGGTTTCTTCTCAGCACCTTGGTAGGACCCTGTCTATGATGGATATTCTCATATTTGTTGACTGGTTAGTAAAGCCCCATTGAAATA